TTATCTTTGAAAACTTAGCAACAAAAATAAAATATTATTTTTAATTGTTTTGAAAATTTAATTATAAATATAATTTCTACATTATAAATATTCTGTAATTTTTAAATTTTGGTGACATACATTTGCTAATTTTTATATAATAATATTATCCCCATATTTTTAGACTTTGAAAATTATTACCCTTAAATCAAAATTTATTTACCCAGCTTTTTCTATTTTTTTTTATTTTGGTTTTTTAGTAAAAAAGGAAAAGAGATAATCCAACTTGAGTCATGACGTTTGTTTCAATGTTTTATTAAGGGTAAATTAGTAAATTGATACAAATCTACTTCCTCCCCAACCCCCCAAATTAGAGGTATAACGTTTGTTTCAATGTTTAAACCCATCGTCGGACGCCGATCGCATCTCTTCCTCTCTCAACTTGCCACCCCTGTTGCTCAGCCACCCATCACGCCAGTTGTTTAAATACCGGAGGAAGCTATTTGGTTAAAATGCCTGTAATACGCCTATTTGGGTCAAATACAAGCATCTTTTCAAGCAGATCTAAAGCTACTAGGGATTTATTTGGGAATCTTGCTGAGAATTGTTGTCTTGGATACTGAGGAAGTTGTCTCACATATCTTCTTTCATTATCGCTTCTTAGAAACCCAAGACTTGCATCTTCAAGTGAACCAATTTACTTTATTTCCTTCTTTCATTCTTAATTTCTTTCCTGATAATAAAAGTACCTCAGCTACTCACAATATTCCGATCTCATTGGTATTTTTTGCATAGATTCTACTTGAATCTTTTGAATCTTTAGCAAAATCGAACCCCATTTCAAGTACTACCCTGTTTGCAAAGGATTACAGAAGCATCACCACTTTCAAACCTTAATTTCACCCAGTATTCTTGTATCACGGATTCACGGTAAGCATCTGTTATTTCATGTTAATTAGGATGTAATGTTAATTTCACCCTGTATTCTTGTATCACAGATTCAAGGTAAGCATCTGTTCTTTCATGTTAATTAGGATGTAATGTTATGTTAATTAGGTGTTAATTGGCATACGCCGAATACCCTAAAAATCTGGTTGTGGGGTTAATCAAGGCACTAGCGATGAAATTTTAAGGAGTCTAGTCGCTGAAAAGAGTGTTGGGCAAATATGTAATTTAAGAAAAATACTTTCCTTGACAAGAATGTTACAGTATTCAAAAGTCAAAATGATTCCAACTTCCAGATCTGTTCTTTATGCTTGTAAGCTTTTATTAAAAGAATGATCTTCATTAATACTTTGTTTTTTTTTTTATTAATTTTATCAATGGTGTTGTGTATAACACAACTGAAACAGATTGAAATCACCACTTCCTTATTATTGATATTTTTCTTGCTTTTATGTGGTTTCTGCTTGGATAAGGCTAATGGAATTTTTTGAATTGCTTTGAACTGTAAATATTTGTTTATAGTACAAATGATAGTCAAATGAAGTTGTCTAAAAAATGTGATGTGAAATGGATATGGAAGTGTCATGTGGATTCTGAAACAGTTAAGAGATCCTCACAAGGCTTTCATTTTTAGTAATAAATATTTTCATTGTTACTCAGGTGTGTGAATGATTTTTTTGCTGCCTTTGATTCATTAATGTCTCCATAATGAGAACCCCCTGCAACTGTTGCAATTTGATATGCTAAATGTCATTAATTTGTTATGTTTGACTATCTTCCCATAGACCCATCATTTTTTAGATGACACCTGAAATAAATATATAAAATTTGTAAACTAGCACTTTGTCTTGCTGTTTGTTCAAGAGTCATTAGAGCCTCTTCTTCTTTTAAACATTCCTGAAAAACCACAAAATCATAACTATTTAGTAATTTGACAACATGGGTAGAGTTGGAAATATGAAAAAGAGTCAAGGAAATGAACTATGTGTTTGTTTTTTTTCTAACTTGGTTTGCATATCTTTTATGCTTGAAGTCATTTGAAAGAATTTACCTAAAAGCACGATAAAGTGGGCGATACCACAACACATAGGCGTCTGGGACCTCAGATTTGAAGTAGATAAGAGCAAGAAACCATATCTTTGGATCTGTGGTAAAAGGAAAATAAAAATTAGAATTAGAACAAATCTCAAACAAATGTTTTAGTTAATAGATTTAAAAAAAAGTAATTAATATACACAAACCTTCTCCTTTAATCCATGTTGTTGTTATAGCCACAATGTTCCAAAGATGGCAAAGAAGTGTCACTTTTATTTTAGTAAGTTTTCATAAAGAAAATATTATTAAAAGCTAAGTTATAGTTAAGGGTTAATCTCATGAAAGATCTTATATTTTCTATTTTTTTGGATTAAACCTCATCTTCATTTTTTTTCATGAAAAGAACCTTATATTTGATCATTTTTTTCCGAATACACCCTCAACTTTGTCATTTTTTCTGAAAAAACCCTCAACCGTCTAAATGCGTCCAAATAAATCCTCAACCTTTTTAGTTTTTCCCAAAAAACCTCACATTTTACAACTTTTTTTAGAGAGAAATAACTAAAAGGTTCATATTGGAAAAAATAAAAAAATGAAATGTCTTTTTCATGAAAAAAATAAAGATGAGGTTTAATCCGGAAAAAAACATAAAATATAAGGTTTTTTTTATTAGATTAACCCTATAATTAATTTACAATTTTACATATTATAATTGTTATGTTTTAATAGAATAGTATAATAATAATAATAATAATAATAATAATAATAATAATAATAATAAGAAGAAGAAGAAGAATAAGAATATGTTATTTCTGATTATGTTAAAGATTGAAAATATGATTTTTGATGTGATTTTCTTTTTTACTTATTGCAATTCAATAAAAAGTTAATAACGATTTAATGTCAAAAGTTTAAACAATTTAAATGGTAATGTACAGCAAGTATGAAGAGTTATTGAAAGACCAAAATCCGGATATAAGTGAAGATGATCTTGCTGCTGAAGTGGATGAAAACTTTGCTACATGGTTTCAAAACTATGTGAGTTTTTAAGTTGTTTTCTTTTCTTTTGAGAAACTTCTAATGTATTCCATTCTTTGTCGTATAGGCACGCCAAAATGAAATAAAGAACAAGTACATACATGATCTTTCTAGAAGACCATTGAGGACTGTGAAATCATATAATGTATACTTTGTAAATGGGTACAAGTTTCACACGGAATCACACGGTGCGAACAAATCAACAATGAATAGTGGAGTTTGTATAAGTAGCCCATTTGGTGATTACTATGGAAAGTTGTTGGAAATATTAGAAGTTGAATACCCCGGTTTTCCAATTAAAACAACAACATTGTTTAAATGTCATTGGTATGATCCAACACCTAATGTAGGAGTCAAGGTTCACAACCAATATAACTTGGTTGATATAAACCAACGAAGAAAGTTCAACAAGTTTGAGCCATTTGTTTTAGCCATGCAAGCTACTCAAGTCTGTTTCATTCCTTACCCGAGCTTGAAACAAAACAATTCTGATTGGGTGGCCGTATGTAAAGTTAAACCTCGTGGATGGAGTGAGATACGAAAAAAAGACGTTGCTTTTCAAGAAGATGAAATTGAAGCAAATGAAATCATTAGCACTATACCAGAAACAATCGAGTATGACATCTTAAGCAACAAGTTAGATAATGAAAATAATGATGAGGGTGAGTTTGATGATGAAAGTGAGGGTGAGTTTGAGTATAGTACATCAACCAATGAAGAAGAAGACAACGACGAAGAAGATAATCTTTTTGATTGTGATTAGCATCTTAAGGTAATTACTCATTTACCCCTTTTAATTTATTGTACTTTTATCAATCTCTACATAATTGTTTTTGAAATTTACTGTTATAACTTTATTTCTTAACCAAAAGAGCAACATACTTGCATTGTTTTTACCAATAATAATGTTGATTTAGGGGTAATAATTTTCACCATTTATGTAACTTTTATAAGCACAAGGGTTATTTCTGTAAATTCTCTAAAAGTCATGGACCAAAGTTATATTGTATTGGTAAAATGACCGGATGTGTAATGATCATTTTCACCAGTGTTGTTGCTTGATTAATATTGTCTAACTATAAAAAGGTGGAACAAAAGACGTAAATGCCCTTGTTATCTATAATCTTTTGTCCCAAAATTCATATCTTTTACAAAACTAAATGCCCTTTTGATTCAACACAACATAATGGTTCCTAATGTAATGTACTCTAGTCTCTTAATAAAACCTTTGAAGTTGTAGTTGTAGAACATTATTTTATAGTTAGGACTTAAAAGGGAAAAACTTTCTTTCCTCTTGTATCTTTTGGTTTGTTTGGTTAATATGTAGTCTTTTCTTGTAGGAAAATAACATGTAATGTACCTTAATATCTATACTTTCTAAAATGCAATTTTTTTTTTTGTGTAGTTACAATTTAACTATCAGAATTCGGAAATGTCTCATAAGGTTTGATAAATTTTTCTGAAAATAATATTTTGTTAACATTTTCATTGTTTTTCATTTGTTGAGATAAAGTTTATTTATTTATTTATTTGTTCTTCTTTGTTTCAGGTTCCAATCCACTCTACTTCACTCCAATCCAATCCAATCCAACACAATCCAGGTGATAACAAAACTATCATGTTTAAGCTTTGTGCTTTATCTTTTATACTTACTATGACAATGTATTTTAGAAAATAGTACCATTTTGAGTTTGAAAGGGGCTAATCCTAAAAGTAAGTTGTTATTTTTTCATTTTTAAAGGGTTAAGTCTAAATGAAAAAAATAGCAATCTACTTTCATTAAAGTATTTGCATTATACTTTTAGTTTTTGTATTTAGTTCACATTGCTATAATTAGGTAAAAATTTCAAAGTAAAAAGTTGAGCTAAAATAAATAAGCAAGCAAAAGTACATTGTTATTTTAAAATAAAAAGTAGTATGCTTAAATTTTCAGTAAGATATTTCAATAATATTTGTGAACCTAAAGATTTATAACTTCCTAAGTTTTTAAAATTTCAGGAAAGATGTCACAATTCTTATTAAGAGAAACATTGAAACGTAAGCAACATACAAATGTACGTTTCATAAACAAACGTACCGATGATGCAAAATCTGTTGGTAATATATCATCATCATCCAATACCACATTATCATCTGTTGGTACTGTATCTGCCCCAACATTTGTTTCACATGTTGGTACTATGGGTGCCACATCATCAACACATGAATCATCCTTGCCTACATCATCTAACCAATCATCTGTATCTACATCTGTCCAATCATCTACACCTGCATCTACTACATCATCTATACCTAGATCCACAACAAATGGTAGTGAATCGGTTGAGGAAAATATTGGGATTCAACATCAAGGGTATTTACTTGGATCTATTGGACTGGATGGGTGTCTATATATTGGAGTGCGAGATAAGGAGTAAGTTAAAATACTTACATTTTTATCAACATTGATCTTCATGATTTTTACAATGTTGTTAATTTTTTCGTTTGTAGGTTATTTCCTTCGGGCCCATGTTCTTCCATTATCTATGAATCCTTTGGTGAAAGAGCTGATTTAAATGGGTATAGCTGGGCAACTTTAAGTGACGAGACAAAACTCCTTTATTGGGACGAGTTTCATGTATGTATCTCGTTTATGCAGTTATTAGGTACTCATTAACTAAAAAACTCATCTATATATTTTGTATTGTAGAAAAAGTGCCATTGGGATGATGCAAAAACTCCATTAGTCCAAGCTTGTTGGGAAAATAAGGCAAAGGAAAGATATAGACAATATATCTACAATATAAGCTCAAAATGGAAAAAGTCGACTCTAAAAAAAAACCAGTTAATATAACATCAGAAGTGTGGACATCCTTGACTGCAAGATGGAATACTGAAGACTTCAAGAAGAAATCAGAACAAAACAAAAAAAATAGGCGTAGAGGTGTAGTTGATGGACAAGCCCTTTCTACGCATACTGGTGGATCGGCTTCTCATTCCAAGATTGCTTCTGATTTAGTAAGTACTCATTTAATTTTATATTATATCAATCTACTTTCATTTAATTTTATCTACTTCTATTTTGATTTTTATAAGGACTAAGCCTAAATGCATAAAATAGCAATCTACTTTCTTTTAGTTTTATATTATAGCATTCTAGTTCCATTTTTATTTTTAAAAGGACTAAGCATAAATATATAAAATAGCAATGTACTTTCATTTAGTTGTATGTTATAGTTTTTCTAGTTTCATTTTGATTTTTAAGAGGACTAATCCTAAAAAGTATGTTATTTTATTTTTCATTTTTAAAGAGTGGAGCCTAAATGCAAAAAATAGCAATCTACTTTCATTTACTTTTATATCATAACGATCTAGTTCCATTTTGATTTTTAAATGGGTTTAGCCCAAAAGTAAGTTGCTATTTTTTCATTTTTAAATATCTAAGCCTAAATGTAAAAATAGCAATCTACTTTAATATTGATTTTTTTTTTGTATATATGTAGAAGAAGCTTTGGGGACATGATCCGGCACACCATGAACTATTCTTGTATACACACACTAAGAATCACGATGGAGTGACTTTTTTAGTTGACAAAGCTAAAAAAATTCATGTAAGTTTTATTTTTAATAATTTCATGTAAGTTTTATTTTGATTTTTTTGTATAAGTTTTATCTCAACACAATTATAAAATTATAGGATGATTTTATGGAACAATGTGATCGGTTAGAAGCAATAGGAGAGGAAATTGATGAGGACAAACTATTTTATGATGTTGTTGGGGGACATGATCGAAAAAAGAGATTATATGGATTTGGCTCATATGGAAAGCGTATTCGTTCTAGTAAAGGATATTCTGAAATGCATCGCGAACAATACGAGGATAATAATGCTGAGACAAAAGTCGAGATTGAGAATTTGAAGAAGTTGGTTGAGACGCAACGCGAACAATATGAGGATATTCAACAAAAATATGAGGATGTTTAGCAAAAATATGAGGATGCTCAGAAAAAGAATGTGGAGTTTCAGCAGAAAAATGTGGATGTTCAAGCAAAGTTTGAACAACAACTCGCACAAGCAATGAATGTCATTAACACATTGAGTGAACAGGTCAAAAATTTTATTAATCAATGATAGAATATTATGTATTAAATAATGTTTTACGTTAAATTTGTAGCGACTTTTGATTTTGAAAGATGTATCTTTTGATGTATTGGATATTTCTTTTAATTTCTATAGAAATACTTTGTTATTTTTGGTTTTATATTAATTGTATTTTTGTAAATTGATATAATAAGTCAAATTAAATAACCGAATTTTATAGAAAGAATGGTATGGAACGATTGTTATGGAATTGACTACAAAAAAGTTGTTACGAAATTTGCTACGGAACGAATGGCTACGGAATTTGTTACGGAACGAATAGCTACGGAATTTGCTATGGACCAAATGGCTACCGAATTTACTACGGACCAAATGGCTACGGAATTTGCTACGGAATAATTAGCTACGGACTTTGCTATGGACCAAATGGCTATGGAATTTACTACGGGCCAAATGACTACGGAATTTGCTACGGAACAATTAGCTACGGAATTTGCTATAGACCAAATGGCTATGGAATTTGCTACGGAACAAAATAGATACGGAATTTGCTACATAATTCATTATTACGGAATTGTGATGGAATTGTGTTGTAGTTGAAATGCTACGGATAGATGTCATAGCAAGGACCATAGCAAAATTGCTACGAAACTATAATTTCGTAGTTAAACATTTTGCTACAAGAAATTTTATTATGGAATCTCATTGGCAAATTCCGTAGTTATTTAGGTTTAGCTACGGAATTACATCATTTTGCTACGGAATTTTTCCGTAGTTAAATCGAAATTTTCTTGTAGTGTTAAGCTGTGACATTTCTGTTTTTGATAATTTTTGAAATTAGCTCGAGCATAAATTTATGCAAGTTATGAAAAATATTTGAAATATGTCTATTTTATATTAAAAATGATGTAATTTTCAAGATAAATTATTTTTTATATCAATAATTACACCAGTTTTCGTCAATATGAATGCGTTGTAATTAGGATTTGTATTAAAGTATTATATTAAAATTAGAAAAAATTACAAATATAGCTATATTTTTTGGGATGAGATTTGATCTCTTTTTCCAAACTTCAAATTCTAGAAATAGCCTACATTTTCACACTTTCAAATTCAAGAAATGCTCTTTACTTTGTAAGTTATATTATTCTTTCATGTTTTAATGTGTCTTATTAGGTTTTGTACATTTAGGATAAGTTTATATAACATATTTGGTAAAAAGAAAAAAAAAATGAAAATGTTAAAAAAATTTAAAGAATTTCTAGCCGGCTAAGAGGAAATCCCAGCCCATGAGTGCCACATCATAGGTCATATTTTTAGATGAGAATAGACAAGTCACTATATATAAGTCTTGCAATGGTGACTTGCATATTCGTTTTTTTTTTTTTTTTGGGTAATATTCTTGTATGTTTACTAGTTTATAATTAGATAGATTAATTGTTTCTCACTATAAATATGCCTCAAGACTCAACTTTTTTTTCCACAACTCAAAATGTCAGCAATGTACACCTTCAATGGATGGCCGAAGAGGAAATCACACTCGTATGTTTTTAGATTATCATTAATGATGATATTATCGTCATCGTTCTCCTACATTCGATGATAGGATCATTTCCGTCAGCTTGACAAATATGTTTCACTATGAATTAGGTTATAGAGTCTACTAGACAAAAAAAAAAAAAAAAAAAATGAAGACTAAGTTAAATGATTTTTTTGAACAATATAAACAAAGCTTAAGGATTTAAAAAGATACGTGAAGATTTTCAACACAATTTTATCACAACATCAAATATGAATTGATGAATGGAGATGAAGATGATAGTTTGGAACCGACTTGGGAGCAATACATACTCGAAGACGAAATATTTTGAAAGATGGCTTGTATATCTATTTTTTTTAGTTTTTTGTTAGTTTTATAATCTTGGAATATTTTGAAAGATATTTATAATTTCTAGTTTTTGTTTGTTAGTTGTGAAATGTAATATGAAATAATAATCATTGTTTTGCTTATCCAATTATATATGACCTTTTTTAGTAGCAGTCTTTTAATTATCTATTTTCGTATTCATACTAGTGTTTATATTTTGTGTATTCACATTAGTGTTTGAAATATTTTATATTAGTGTTTTATTTATGTACGTTATAATACTCTTGAACATAATCTGTAGAACTAATACTATTATTTTAGTAAAAAATATAAAAAATTATGTATTTTTATATAGACTGGCATATATATACAAAATCTTAGTCAAATATCATAAATGTTATTCAAAATGTATAAACTCATAGTTGAGCTCACATACATATGCATATATTGGAAAAATAATAAAAAACTCCAAAATCGCAAATAAAACTAGATAAAATCGCGGGTGGCTCTTAACCATTTGTGAGTTGACTAAATACAAATGAAGTTGTTAGTCTAATTTTATAAAAGTCTTATATTTTTAAAGTGTAATTTGAAAAGTCATAATTTTATTATTATTATTATTATTATTATTATTATTATTATTATTATTATTATGACCATAATTTTTTCGTAAAATTATCACTTTAATCCATTTAACAGTTTTATGGTTAACTTTTTTGCAAAATCAGTTCTAAGAAGTTTAAATTTGATCCCTGAGGTTTGCAAAAAGTTACACCATATGGTTTTTTAACTTTATTTTTCGTTTTTTGTATATTTTATTTATTTTCAATTTTTTTTTTTTATAAATTTATATACCTTTTTTATTTTCTTTTTTATATTCTTTATTTATTTTCATTTTTTAACTTTATTTTTAAACAATTTGATTTTTTTTTTTTTATATTTTTACCTTTTGTTTTCTATTTTAGGTATTTATGGTTTTTCTAATGTTTTTATTTATTTTGATTCAAGTAAACAAACTTGAATTCAATGTAAATTACTATAATAAGTTTTTTTTTTTATAGAGACCGATTATTATTATCATTATTATTTGTTATTTCTTTTAGTCTAGTATCAAATTGAAAAATATTATCTTGAATTTAAAATATTGATATCACATATTCTCAATAAGCAAGCTAATAAAAATATTAGAAAAACCATAAATAACTAAAATAGAAAAAAAATAGAAAACAAAGGGTAAAAATGTACAAAAAAATCAAATTGTTGAAAAATAAAGTTTTAAAATGAAAATAAATAAAGTATATATAAAAAAGAGAATATATATATATATATATATATATATATATATATATATATATATATATATATATATATATATATATATAAACTAAAAATAAATAAAATATACAAAAAACGAAAAATAAAATTAAAACCCATGTGGTGTAATTTTTTTGCAAATCTCATAAACTAAATTTGAATTTTTTTAGGATTTATTTTGCAAAAAAGTTAACAAGTTAACCATGAAAGTTGTGGTTCTAAACCTTAAACCATAAACTAAGTTAACCATAAAACTCGTTAAATGAACTTGAGTGATAATTGTACGAGAAAGTTGTGACTATAACAATAAAAAAAAATATTAGGGATTTTTTAATTAAGTAATTAAAAATTTAAGACTTTTATATTATTATTCCTTTTAAAAAATCTATTTTTTTTTTTACCATTTTTTGTTAAATTATTATTATTATTATTATTTTGTTATATTTAATATTTTCAGCTAAATAAAAATATTTATTGTTATGATTATGGGAATACAATTAAAATTTTACTCAAATATATAATTATTAAAGAAACTTAAAAATCAAATCATGGTGATGGGAAGAGCCTGCAAGACCCTCCGTAATGCTTTTTCCACTGAGCCACTGAGCTCTATCCCCTCTTCGCCCCATTCTATGCGCAGTGTGTGGACTGTGGAGAATTCGAGTTATCAAGAAAGATTTTAACAAAACTTCAAACCCAAAACCCTACAAACATGAGAACTCACAGCAGAATTGGTCTTGCTTTCGTGATCAAATGTTTCGCCACGACGATGATAACGATCATCGTCTCGGCGGAGTCACCCCAACCTCCATTTTCATGCGATTCTTCATCTCCTACACCACCATACCCATTCTGCAACGTCAGTTTACCGATTCCCAACCGCGCTCACGACGTCGTTTCACGACTTACGTTAGACGAGAAAGTTTTGCAGCTGGTAAACGGAGCGCCGGGGATTCCTCGCCTTGGGATCTCCGCTTACGAGTGGTGGTCGGAGGCATTGCACGGCATTTCTCGACACGGAAAGGGTGTGAGATTTAACGGAACGATCACCGCCTCTACGCAGTTCCCTCAAGTCATCCTCACAGCTGCTTCTTTTGATTCACATCTTTGGTATCGGATTGGTCAGGTCAGTCTTCCATTCTCATTGATGATCTAGGTTTTCTTTTTCTTTCGATTTCACGTTCATTATAGTTATCAGTAAACAATTCAAGCAGCATTCTCTTCCAATTTGATTAAGATCGGAAGTTCAGTACAACTCTAGCGAACCTAGGGTTCCATTTTACCATACTTCAACCGGAGAGCAAGCAAAATAGTCGACTATTAGTCAAAATTACGCATGACATTAGATTCCATTGATGAGTTTTCAATGCTTATGTAGGCAATTGGGAGAGAAGCAAGGGCAATGTACAATGTAGGTCAAGCAAAGGGGCTAACATTTTGGGCACCAAACATCAACGTGTTAAGAGATCCAAGATGGGGAAGAGCACAAGAGACACCTGGTGAAGATCCATTGGTTGTCGGAGATTATTCAGTTTCATACGTAAGAGGAATTCAAGGTGACAGTTTCGAAGGTGGAAAAATCGATCCAAATTCCGATCATCTTCAAGCCTCCGCTTGCTGTAAACACTTCGTTGCCAATGATTTGGATAACTGGAAAACCGCTAATCGATACAACTTCGATGCCAATGTAAGTCTCAGTTCT